ATCTATCTATCTATCTATCTATCTATCTATCTATCTATCTATCCATCTCTATCCATTTATCATCTGTCTGTCTATCCTTTTATCATCTATCGCATCCATTTATCCTATCTATCTATCCATTTATCACCTATCGCATCCATTTATCATCTGTCTATCTATCTATCTATCTATCTATCTATCTATCTATCTATCTATCTATCTATCCATCCATCCATCCATCCATCCATCCATCCATCCATCCATCCATCCATCCATCCATCTCTATCCATTTATCATCTATCTATCCATTTATCACCTATCGTATCCATTTATCATCTGTCTATCTATCTATCTATCTATCTATCCATCCATCCATCCATCCATCCATCCATCCATCCATCCATCTCTATCCATTTATCGTCTCTGTCTGTCTGTCTGTCTGTCTGTCTGTCTATCTATCTATCTATCTATCTATCTGTCTATTTATCTATCTATCCATCCATCCATCCATCTCTATCCATTTATCATCTGTCTGTCTATCCATTTATCATCTATCTATCCATTTATCTTATCTATCTATCCATTTATCACCTATCGTATCCATTTATCATCTGTCTATCTATCTATCTATCTATCTATCTATCTATCTATCTATCTATCTATCATCTATCTTTGATTTCATATCTATTAACAATCCACAATATAAGTTAGTCCCCCTGGTGACTGTACCCGATTCTCCAGCCAGCCATGCTTTGAGATGAATGGACTTCAACTCCCAGATTTTCCCCAACTTGCCTGCTTGAAGTCGTCCTGACTGGGGAATTGTGGGAGTAGAAGTCCACCCATCTTCAAGTACCCAAGTTGGAGGAGCAGCGCCATTTATTTTCCTGTGCTTTAAATTCACCATTAATGCTTATTCTTCTGCCTTGTAGGTCATTTTGCACGATGTGATCAAGTTTATCGCCGTCTATCTGGTGTTTTTGTTTGGATTTGGCGTAGGTAAACAGAATTTGATGCTTTATTCCCAGGGGCATCGGTGGATCCGGGGTGGGGTGTGTGTGTTCAAAGAAGGCATAACAGTGTTGCCAACAGTGCCACCCAAGCCCTGCCCCCTTTTTATGCATATCACACATACAAGGCTTGGCTTGCTCTCTTGCGGTCTCCATTTGGCCCTTTTTGAAACATTCCCTGTGAATACCTGTAATTATTTGGAATCGGGTATGCAACTGAAATGCATTGGTGGTCTCTGAGATTTGTGGTTGTGTTTACAGATGTTTCATTACCTGACTAAGTAACAGCATAAGTGCTGGAAGGCGTTTATAAGGAGGAGGAGGAGGAGGAGGAGGAGGAGGAGGAGGAGGAGGAGGA